ATTTGAAACTGTTTTAAGGATTACCCAGTGTTCTCTTCACTAAATTGTGCTTTTAGTCTATACACTCTCTGCTCCATCCAAACTCATTTCTTTCCTTTTTTACCTGCCTGGTGGTTGTGTTTTATGACCGTACCTTTATCCCAGCCAAGGTAGTTGGCTCCCTTGCTGTCAGAGCAAGTATTTGATTGCATCTAGGAAAATCTAACTTCACCAGTGAGAAAAATAACTCCTCACACAGGTTGCATCCATTTAAGGATCAGTGGTATCTTCTTCATATAATAAGACAGGACTTATTACTATATTGAGTTTTAAAAATAATTTCAGAAATCAATAAAATGAATTCAGGAAGCTGCTTTCAAAGTGCATAGCCATATCTAGAATGGTGGAAGCCTTAGGTGTATTGATCCCAAAGTAGGCAAACCTGAAATCGTGAACTTTCACCAATAACCTTCAGTCTTCCCCACCTTTTCCTCTGAGAGTACAAAATAGCTCCCTCATGTGACTTTTTAAACTGTCTTTATACCACCATTCTCTTAGCTATGGGGCCATAAGCTTTCAATCCTCTTGAAGTTGCTACTGCTTGGCTGTTGCCTACTCCCCTATACATATACATACTTAATGTTTATTAAGATTTTACTGTGTAAGTCACTGTGAGAATTAAAAAGGTTTTGACCTCCAAGTGTATACAATCAAGTGCTCGCATCACTTCAGTATAAGGCAGTCGGTTTTGCCTATTACAGATTCTTGAGAAATTTAGAGGAGAAAAAGGACTACCTCTGACTGGGTAATCGGGACTTTGAAAAATGAGTAAGATTTTAATATGGAGAGAAATCATTAGCAACAGCATGAAAGTAAGACATTTCAAGGCTTGGTCATGTAACTATTCAATGAATGCTGAGTGAGTGATGGTATTGAATAAAATGGTTTTGTTTTTGTAGAATCCTATTAATATATTTTTTCCTAGTACTCTGTACTTCTGCCAGTTTAATATTATTAAACATCATTTGAGCACATATTTTTGCTTAAAAATTTTTAGAGTACAACCCAAATTCCTTCATCTAATATTCAGCTCTTTTTTTTTTTTTAAATATATTTTATTGATTTTTTACAGAGAGGAAGGGAGAGAGATAGAGAGTTAGAAACATCGATGAGAGAGAAACATCGATCAGCTGCCTCCTGCACATCTCCTACTGGGGATGTGCCCGCAACCCAGGTACATGCCCTTGACCGGAATCGAACCCGGGACCCTTCAGTCCGCAGGCCGACACTCTATTCACTGAGCCAAACCGGTTTCGGCTAATATTCAGCTCTTATCATAGTCTTTTTTAAAAAAAGAAATCAATCTTTTCCATTTTTGTTGCCCATTGTTTCAGTAATGCTGATTTTTTTCTGCTTCTCCCTTGTTATCTTGTTTGATCATTAAGGTCCAGCTAAGATCCTGTTTCATTTAAGTAAACTTCCCAGACCACAACTGAAAATATTCTTGTGGCCTGTTATGAATTGTAATTGTCTCTTCATATGAATAGGAGTCAGTATTTATTGATTGGTAGGGCAGGTTCAAATTGTCTATTCTTTATGGTAGGGACATTCTTTTTATAAGTTTTTAAAATTCTGTATTTTTTGAATTACATTCATTTTAGGTACACCAAAATCCTTGGTGTTTGGATGTGAAAGTTTCTAGAGTTCAACTCTGAAGTTAATTTTTCTACCTGGAAATTAAGATAAAATTATAGTCCTAAGGATTTGCTCATAGAGCCATGTCTCCCTCATAGAGCCGTCCCAGATAAATCATGTTTGGGCCTTAGAATACATTCCTATTTCCCAATTGCTGTAAGACTGGACAAATGTTTTTATTCATTACCACTGTTCTTCAAGGAATTGTGCTAAGTATTGTGGGCATTAAAATCTCTGTGATCCAGGAGCTGATTATCTAGTTGAGAAATAAGTATAATTGAAAAAACATACTTGTTGCAGCAACATACATAAGTGGTTTGGAAGTTCAGAGGAATAAAAGATCATTTTCAACTGGGATTGTTAGGGAAAACTTAATGGAGAAGGAATAGATCTAAAGGGAATTAATTGCTGCTTTTAATCTCTTTCCCATATCTTTTATTTTATAGTACTTAGTTATGTGAGAAAATGATAAATTAATGTTTTTTAAATGGAAAAGAAGGCATAAACGTGGTAGAGTAAAAGTAGTACAAAAAGATACACTGAAAAAGTAAGGCTCCTGATACCTCAGGTCTCAGAATATTTTTTACATATGATTATTTCTCTTCAGTTTCTTTTGTTCCTATTCTCTCTCCCTCCCTCTTTATTTTTGATTATTATTATTTATTTTTTTAGAGAGGGAGGGAGAGAGAAAAAGAGAGGAAGAAAGAAACATGGATGTGAAAGAGAAACATTGATCAGTTGCTTCCTGCAAGTCCCCTGACTGGGATGGGGAAATGGAATCTGCAACCTAGGTATGTGTCCTGACCTGGAATTGAACTGCCACCTATCTGTGTACCAGATGACGCTCCTACCAACCAAGTCACCAGGGCCGGACTATATGTACTTTTTAAATGATCTTGGAGAGGTCTCCTATCTGTTTTTATAGCTACTAAGTTCTTTCTAATGGTTACACAGTACTCCATTGTATGGCTATATTATAATTTATTCAGTACCATATTATTGCAAACAAAGCTATAAGTGAATATCCTTATATATATTTCTTTGTTCCCATGTTTTGTTAAAAAGTAAATAATTTCTGGAAGCTAGGTTAAAGATTATGAATTTAAAAATTTTGTACAGCCCTGACCAGGTGGCTCAGTTGGTTGGAGCATCATCACATACACCAAAGGTTGCAGGCTTAATCAATCCCCAGTTGGGGTGTGTTTGTAGGGGGTGGAGGAGGGAGGAGGGTGGAGGGAGCAACTGATGTTTCTTTCCCTTTCTCCTCCTCTCTCCTTCTCCCTTCCACTCCCTTTTTCTTCCTTCCTTCCTCTCTCTCTAAAAATCAGTAAAAACGTGTCCTTGGGTGAGGATTGAAAATAAAAATTTTGTAGGTATTGCAACTCACTCGCTATAAAGATTATATTAATTAACAACTCCACCAGCAATGTATGGCAGTGCCTGTTACCCTCATCTCTGAGTAACATTATGGTAATAAAAAATTTTAATTTGATAAATGTAAAAGCTCTTTCATATATTTCTTCTAGTGCTTTTATGATTTCTTTTTTTAAAAAAATATATTATTGATTTTTTACAGCGAGGAAGGGAGAGGGATAGAGAGTTAGGAACATCTATGAGAGAGAAACATCGATCAGCTGCCTCCTGCACACTCCCTACTGGGTATGTGCCCACAACCAAGGTACGTGCCCTTGACTGGAATCGAACCTGGGACCTTTCAGTCCACAGGCCAATGCTCTATCCACTGAGCCAAACCGGTTAGGGCAATGATTTCTTTTTTAACATTAAAATAAATATAAAATATAGAAGCTAAAAAAATATAAAATAAAAATACCAGTTAGAATATGAAAATACCAATTAGGACATAAAACTAGTAGCATAGGTTCATGAGGTGGCAGACTATATATGTTGTGACTATATATATTCCTTTGAGTGTGTTTAAAATGTACCTATCTCACATTTGGATATGCTTTTTTTGTATTTTTTGAAATCTGCTTTACTGAGGTATGATATACTTACTATAAAATCTAGTCATTTTAGGTGTGCAGTTGGAGTTGACAAATGTAAACAGATGAGTTACCACTGCCACAGTCAAGATATACAGCACATTGCCTATTTGCATTCATTCTCCTTCTGGGTTTTGTATTCAGTCAACCACTGATCTGCTTTCTGTCACTTTAATTGGCTTTCTTCCTTTTTTTCAACTTTTTCTAGGTATAATTGACATCTGATTGTATATGTTTAAGTTGTACAGTTTGAGTTTTTACATATATGTCTACCTGTGAATCCATCACCACAGTTACAATAATAGGAATAGCTATTACCTCCAAAAGTTCCTTACATTATTTTGTAATCCATCTCACCCTCATCTTCAGGTAATTACTGTTCTGCCTTGTGTCATTAAAGATTAGTTGGTATTAATTGAGAATTATATATAAATGGAATTAACAATATGTACTTTTGAGGAGGACTGGCTTTTTTCACTTAGTACAGTTATTTTGAGATTCATCCATGTTGCATAGAACAATAGTTTCTTTTTATTGCTTAAGGAATATTGATTGCAGTACAGTGGGGCCTTGACTTACAAGTTTAATTCATTCCAAGACCGAGCTCGTTAAGGAGCTCGTTAACTCAAATTACTCTGTCAACTCAATGCAAAAAATGGGCGGAGAGACAGCTGGTATCTCAAAAAACTCGTTATTTGGGACACTCGTAAGTCAAGGCCCCACTGTATATGGTTATATCACAATTTATCCATTCACCTGTTGATGAACATTTGGGTTGTGTCCTGTTTTTGGTTATCAAAAATAGAACTTCTGTGACATTTGTGCACAAGCCTTTGTGTAGACATATTCCTTATTTCTCTTGCTGGTGTGGCTCAGTTGGTTGGGCATTGTCCCATGCACCAAAAGGTTGCCAGTTCAATTCCCCTATCAGGGCATGTGCCCGTGTTTCCGGCTACATCCTTGTAGGGTATGCAGGAGGCATCCGATTGATGTTTTGCTCTCACATGGATGTTTCTCTCTCCCTCTCCCTTCCTTTCTCTAAAAATCAATAAAAAAAAAAAATCTTAAAATTTCTTTTCATAAACTGTCATCTGTCCTACTGAGTTGTATTAGCTTTTTAAAAAAATATATTTTATTGATTTTTTACAGAGAGGAAGGGAGAGGGATAGAGAGTTAGAAACATCGATGAGAGAGAAACATCGACCAGCTGCTTCCTGCACACCCCCTACTGGGGATGTGCCCGCAACCAAGGTACATGCCCTTGACCGGAATCGAACTTGGGACCTTTCAGTCCACAGGCCGACGCTCTATCCACTGAGCCAAACCAGTTAGGGCTGTATTAGCTTTTTAATGCCTCCACATTTGTGCTATTTTGACAATTGTGCTATTTATCACATTTAGTATTTATATTAAATGATTGTAACTTTAAATTACCTAAGTATCTCTCAGGACACTTTTTTCTTGCTCAATAAAAGTGATAATCATCTCAATTTACTTACCAGTCCATTCACCTGATTTGAAGATATATATTTTCATTCTGTTTTGTCTGAATTATTCTTTCTGTCATACTGGAATTTTGGAACATTTTTGCAATTTACACTTAAGAAGGCTAGTTTAAAAAATCAGTGGAAATTTCCAGCTTAAAAAAAATCCAACTACTGGTCTAATAACTGCTTTGCAGGAAGAAAGAAATATGAAAAAGAACCGCAGACATTCTGGATGTCAGCCTGTGAAATTTTCCACTATTTCCCATAATAACATGCAGGCATGCTTATTCTGCCGGGTGCAGTGCAACTGCAGTTGGAGTCAGAGTGGAATTTGAAGCTACCCTATCAATGATAAAATGGCAGCTGGCTAACTTTTAGTGAGCAGTTCGCACATTTAAGGTACTATATGTTTGTTTTTGCCTGAAGTGTAGCCATAACACTGAACTTTCAAAATTACTTAAGAGACTACTGATTCTAAAATTTCTGTTTCAAATGAAGTTTGGTTTTTTAATTTCAGTAGAGTTGTTATGCATCTGAGAATATAGACATAAATTCTTTTAGTGACAGTACTGTATAAATACATTTTTATTTTATAGGATTTTATACTACCTTGAAGAATGCTCAGAAAATTAAAACAAAGTTTTAAAAAGATTTGCACAAACTCAGTATTTGGTGTGATTTAAGAAAAATTTTAGCCTCTATTTCAGGTTTGTGTTAATCTTTCAAAGGGTTAGCAGACTATATTAAAACCTATAGTTGTATTTTTGTTTGGCTGTTTCAAATTTAAAGGCAAACAGTATTATACTGTTTTTCTAATGGAAGTCCAGGTTGCCAGTTATGTAAACTGGCTGAGTAGAAAAATCAAAAGTAGTTTATAAATATACTGTAACCACTCACTTCTACATTGTTTCATCTCTTTCATGGCCAAAACCTAACAGTGATATTAAGGAATGAGATTGAGAAGTTCAGATTTTATGAATTAACCTTTTAAACTCATGCATTTCTGCAGTGATAAATTTGAGTCTTCATAGGGATACAACAGATATGCATATGTAACTTTGTATGTTTTAACACTTGTAAGTCATTTACATTTTGGAAATAAAGGCATATTAGTGCATAAGTATATCTTTTCCAGAACTGTTAGGTATTATCTTTGAATAAGAATGGCATTGTGACATAACAACGGCCTCCACCCCTTCCCTGTGATCAGCTCTTCCCTTGTGCAGCCTCATCCTTCCTCTTGACCTTTCCTGTAAGATATAACTCTTCTCCTGTCCTCTTTATGTACTTCCTCTTCTCAGCCCTCCTCTACCTCCAGCTATTTTATCCCTTTCACTCAGCCTAAATTTTCTTTTAAGTCTCTCACTTTTTCTAGTTGATCACTGTTAAACCTCATCTTTACTTTTGGAAGGTTTCTTTGCTCCAAGTGTTTTCTGCTCTTGGCAGATCGATTTTCTTTAGTCTTTGAACCCTCAAACACATACATCCTCACACCTTTCAAATCCTTCAACTTCATTTTTATTTCCATGTTTTCATTTATTCTATAGAGATTTATTGAATCTATGTGTCAGGATAAGGAGACTGGAAATTGGTGTGTATGTATGTGTTGTGGAGTTCACTTCTTAAATTTTTTTTTTTTTTTACTGATATCAGAGAGGAAGGGAGAGGAAGAGAGATAGATAGAAACATCAATTATGATTGATTAGCTGCCTTCTGTGCACCCACATTGAGGATTGAGCCTGTAACCCGGGATGTGCCCCAACCTGGAAATCGAACCATGACCTCCTGGTTCATAGGTTGATGCTCAACCACTGAGCTGTGCCAGTTGGGCTGGAGTTACACATTTTAGATGGGTAGTCATGGTAATCTTCTCTGAGAAAATCACATTTGAGCAGAGTCCAGGAAATAAGCCTTGTGAACATTGGAGGGTGAGGAACAGTCTGTGCAGAGGGAACAGTCTGTGCAAAGGCCCTTTGGAAGGAGCATTCTTAGTGTTCTTGAAGGATCAGGAAGGTGGCCAGTGTCATGGAGCACAGTGAACAGAGGATTAAGTAGTGAGAGAAGAAGTCTGAGAGGCAACAGTGGAGCCTTGTAGGGAATTGCAATGTTTTCAGCTTTTACTTTGAGCAAAATGTCGAACTACTGTAGGTTTTTAATTTTTGGTTATTCCAAAAACATGTTATGATAATTGATTTTCTCCCCCTTCAATTAAAGACATATTTCATTTTATTATAAAAGCATTTAATTCATGTTGACTTGAAAAATACAGAAAGGCACAAAGGAGAAAATAAAGAAATTAATGAACAGCTCTAGCAGGTTTGGATCAGTGGATAAAGCGTCGGCCTGTGGACTGAGGGTCCTGGCTTCGATTCAATGATTCTCTCTCATCATTGATGTTTCTATCTCTCTCTCCCTTCTTCTCTGAAATCAATAAAATATATATAAAAAAATCAATGAACAAATAAAGATGATCAGTAATCTCATCATCCATTATTAAAGATTTTGTGTTTACGTATCTTCCCACTTGTTTTCCTTTGTGTTTGTATACAAACACCCCGCCCCACCCCCCGCAACACACCCCTCCTGCACTGTAGGGTTTTGACACACAGCAAATACACTGATGGGCTTTACAGAGATCCTTCCATTTGCTTTGTGAAAAGTAGCTCAGAAGAGGGCGAGAAGCAGATAGACCTATTAAAGGCTGTTACAGTAATCTAGGTATGAGACAATGTTACCTTAGACCACAGTGGCAGCAGAGATGATAAGAAGTGGTCAGATTCTAAATACATTTTAAATATAGAGCCAACAGAATTTTGTGGTGGATTCAGTGAGGTTGGGCTGTGTGGGGTGGGTGGGGCAAGAGGAGGGAAGAATCAGCGGTGACTCAAACGTGGCTTGAGTAACTAGAAACCTTTGGTTTAATTTTTCTTTTTTGTTGAACTATCCATCCAAGATTCAATTCTGGCTCTATCTTCTATGTGTGTTTCCTGTTCATTTGAACTTGTGATTGTTTCTTTCACCAAACTTCTAGTCTGTTTTGCCCAGCTTGGCACATGGTACCCACCACAAGATGCTATATATAACAGATCGTTTCACTAATATTAGTCTTAACTAGCTAGTGAGCATCCCTTTACTAGATCATGCTGGATTAATTTATCTGCTCAAGTACTGATAACTTTCTAAATACATTTTGGGTATTCAGTGAAAGTTTAATTGTGTACTCCTCTGGCTTGAGGACAAGATACGAGAAAACCTTAAAGTATTAAATGCCTGCTCTAGCTTTACTTTGGCTTACTGACATTTTTGGATCAGTTGTTTTGGATAGTTATTTTTCTCAATTATTTTGAGTCTAAAAAAACCATGAAATGTTATGTATTATCTTGAATTCTGCAGTACTATGAGGACTTATTTTTTATTTACTGATTTTTCGAAAGGGGGAAGGAGAGAGAGAGACATCAATTTGTTCCACTTATTTATGCATTCATTGGCTGCTGCTTGTATGTACCCTGATTGGGCACATAATCCTCATCCAAGGTCATATATTTTTTCTCCATTATTATTTTTTTTCCAGAGAGAGAATGAAAGGGAAGGCAGGAACGGGAGGCAGGAGGGAGGGAGGGAGGAGGGAGGGAGGGAGGGAGGGAGAGAGAGAGAGAGAGAGAGAGAGAGAGAGAGAGAGAGAGAGAGAGAGAGATGTGAGAGACACGTGATGAGAAACACATGGTCGGCTGCCTCCCACATGTGCCCTGCGCCTTGACCAGGGCTGGGGATTGAGTCTGCAATCCAGGTATGTGCCCTTAACTGGGGATCAAACCTGTGACCCTTTGGTTTGCAGACTGACACTCTCCATCTGTTGCCTCCCATATGTGCCCCTACTGGGGTTGGAACCCATAACCTCTAGGGTATGTATGTGCCCTAACCAGGAATCGAACTTGCAACCTTTTTGGTGTATGGGACGATGTTCTAATCAACTGAGCCACCTGCCGAGCTACATTATGATTTTAGAATGCTTTTGACATTCTAAAGGTTGTAGAGGTTATTTACCTCTTTATTCATTGATGTTACATGATGTTATGTTGTTGTGCTTTGGGTTCTTATTTTTTAAAATAGTTTTCTAGACTTATTCCTAGCTGTTGATACTTGCTGATGTGAAGTGTGCTTATGTGCAGGCCCTCCCCCGCCCCCCCCCCCCCCCCCCCCGTCCCCTTTGCTTTTATTTTCATTATATTTCCTTGGAGCCTTATTTAACATCAATATTCTTTTTAAAAATCTCTGTGCTACTTACACTTTTACTATCTTGTATAGGAGCACTTGATTTCCTCATCTTTTAGCTTTGCTTTATTTTACCTCTTCAGTTCTTAATCTTTCTACTTTTAAAATAATTTCTATAATATATCCCGGATTTCAGAACGCACTCAGTATCTTCAAGGAAGTTTCACATAGAAACATTGTTCTATTTTAAGAAAAGAATAAGTTCTTCAAATGGTCCTCACTTATTAGATGCTATCTGGACTAGGGGATGTGCTATCTATCTGTAACTGAGTTCTCTTAAATTTCCCTTGTTTGAAGTGGGTTAAATCTTCTAGACAGGGAGGATGGGAAAGTTGGTAAAGGCAGTCCATTTGACTTAAATTGTTTATGTGAGTTGTGGCCATCAGCTTAGTTTTACCTGTGATCATCATTTCTATTTGGTAATGGAATACTTTTCTTTAGAAAGATGATAGAATGTAACTCATACACATTTTAATGATAATTAGTTCAATAAATGCTTACATATAAAAACCAAGGGGATTAAAATGTCCTATTTAGATGACCTTTAGTTGATTTAATACAAATATTTGGGGTCTGAGAATACGGTAGTAACTCACAATGTCATTTTTAGGCATGTCATTAGAAACAGAAAACACGTAATTTATTTTGGTTGGAGAGTAGTGGTGAACTTAAGCTTTAACATTCTGTTTGAGAGAGGCTGATGTTCAAATTTTCACCTACAATTAACCACAAATCTTTAACTGCAAGCTTTGGAAAAATGATTTGTGGACATATATATTAGATGATTTTTAGAAACATAATTTGCTTGGAAAAATGATTTGCTGACACATATAAGATCATTTTAAAAAATATAATTTGCTCTGTCTCGTGAGTTGTTTCATAAACCAAAATTATTAATCCTCTTTTTCAAATGAATCTGTTTTATTTTGAGAAACTAGAGATGATGATATATACCCCCTTTCTTTTTCGTTTTAAAAAACTTTCAGCATCTATTCCGGCTGTTCTGCTTTTCCCCAAACCTTTACTTAGAACAAAAAGCCTGGATGCCCTGCTTTGTTCCCAGTATTCCAGTATTTCACTTTACATGTGGTAAGATTGAAAATCTAGGTGGTGTTGCCTAGGTATTG